AACTGAGTGATGGCTAGATAAAAAATATATTTTATCTCTTATTTTCAGTAATTAATCGCTGTATGGGTTTGTTAAATTTGACTGATCTCGCAACCGCCATAAAAAATTAGGAAATAAACATAAATTATGCATCTTTTATTCTTGAATGAACACAAATTATAACATGAAAACATAAATGTTTAGAAGAAATAGGTTAAATCTCATAACATTATACATACATACGTATATATATTATTATTTTTTTACTTTGACCTTTCACCCTAACAACAGAAGTTACAATGATGCGACTCACGTGCACTCATGTTACCATATCAAATAACATAAAGGTGACCTTTGGTTTGTACAAAGAGACCTGTCTTGGCTGTGTTTTAGGAGACTAGTATTTTATAAAATACAGTCACATTTTAATTATTATACATTATATATGTATATAGATTATTGATATTTTGAAATAAGTTCTTAAAATTGTTTTTCCTACAACGTAGAACAATAAATAAAGAAGTAAAGCAAACAATTATCTCTTCTAGTTATGACCTTTGTACCTGGTTGCTGCTTGACGTAGGTTGCTAAGCCTTTAAAATTTTGCATGTGGGGGATATGAAACAAAATATATTTTTTAGGTTTTATATATACATTTGAATAACTAAAAAATCATAAATTACTACATCAATACCACAAAATTCTATTATAATTTATCAAACTTAGTAAACTTAGTAACTAAGATTTATTTGGGTGTAAAAAAATATATGAAATTTTGAGTCAGACTAAAGACACAATCTACATCATTGATATCTTGATTTAAAGTAAAGAAATAATGCTAGGTATGTTAGAAAGGGTTAGAAAACCACTAGGGGAACATTCTGAGCTTCTGATTGGTTAATCATGTCATATATAGAAGTAAATGTTTATAATGAAGCATTTCTAAAAATGGAAGGTGAGCGGGGTGCCACTCTGTTTGATTTATTACGTGAGCAGTATCTTGGGAAATAGAATAGATAAGACCTTGTTTTATATTCTAGTTTGTCAGTATCTGTAATTTGAGTTTCTAATTCGTGTGAAACTATAGACTTAGTATTTTGACTTCACAAACATCAGTTTGAACCAGTGGTGCATTAAACATACCACTTGACACACAAAAATTAATGTTTTTTGTTTTGTAATATTTACTTTTGAATTAAGAAATTGGGTAAGGTATATTGCTAAAATTTTAATTATAATCTGCAGTTTGATACCAAACTTATTGACATAAATTCATGAAATAGTAGTTCAATGAAATTTTGAATGTGAGTCAACAAATGAGATGACATGGTCTTTCACCTGCGACCCGTAGAGAAAGGGTTAAACATAACCAACAAAAACGGCTCAAATATTTGTTTTTTAGTGATAAATAAATAAATTTCAGAAGAGGGGAAAAACATTTC